AATGATTAAAGCTCTATGGATGACAACTTCTTTAGCACTCAAAGAAAATATTTCTAACTCTCAAAAATAATGTTTTGATGAGGAAGATGAAGCAAGGAATGACAAAGGCTCAATGAATATTTGGAGTGCAAGAGTGAAGTATGGAGAAGAAGGAGAATGAGGGATTAAATAGGCTGACTGAAAAATAAATTCGTTGGAGCAGGTTGAGAATATGCACCAGATAAAATTAATCGATTAAGGTAGAAGGTTAAATCGATTGCGGTACACAGAAGCGAAAGGCATGAAAAGAAAAACAAACCATAATCGATTAAATGAAGTCCATTAATCGATTAATAGGCTCTGTCCGAACTAATCGATTAATTGATGAGAAATAATCGATTACTGTTCAAAATTGAGCAGCCCTACCGAAAAGCTTATAAATCGATTAAAGTGAAGCAACAAATCGATTAGGCGGTTCTGTCCAAGCTAATCGATTTTCATAAAAGAAAAAATCGATTAAGTATTATGTCCTGAGAAATTGCGCTGGATCTAATCGATTATCCTAGAGGAAATAATCGATTAACAGGAAAATAATGCGCAAACACAAAGGGCCCAAGCCAGATGCGATTGGAAGGGGTTTGGATTGTAACTGGTTGTTTGAGACAACGGACGCTCCTCGGATAATATCTCCCTATTCAATGAATTTGAGTAGGGGAGAGAAAAAGAGAGTCCAAAAATTATTTTGTGTGTTAAACGATGTACACAAAAAATATTTAAAGTAAATTTTTCTTACCAAGTAAAAATTGTGTAATCTTAAAAAAAAATTTTAGAAGTTCTGACACACTTATTTTGAAACTGACTCAGTAAAATATTTTAGACAGAGGAAAAGTGATTTTTCAACTGACTCAAAAAAAATAATAATAATTTTTATCCATCAGAAATTAAATTGTTTTGTGCAGAAGATATTGTCATCCTTACAAAAATTCCTAGACTCAATAAAAATAAAAAGTCTTCGGAGTCTTCGCTTCACTTCAAAAAACTGCGTAGGGGTGAGCGTGAATTATCGCCGAAACTTCTTGATGCCCTTCTTTGCTTTTCTCGATCCGAATAAATTTTCGAATATCGATTGAATTTAATCATCATGTTTGTCATTCATCAAAACAAAAAAATAATCCAAAAAAATAATAATAAAGGGGTTTGAACTCATGTCCAACAATTTCCCCCTTTTTGATAATGACAAACATAGTTAAGAAAAAGCAAAGAAAGAGTTCAAAAAATGCTTCCCTTAATTGATTCCCCCTGCAAGGTTAGAGAAGTGCAGTAAAAAAAATAATCGGAGTAATAAGCGGAAAAACAGTTTTGAAAAACAAGTTTTCTCAACGATCCTTCCTTCCCCCTTTTGGCATTATCAACCGACAACCTTCCCCCTTAATTGATGCCGGGATTTTGAAGGATAGAAAAAAATTTGTAAGAGTTTTCAAAAAAAGAGAACTTTTAACACGAATTGCCACAAAGGGACAATATGTTCTAAAAGAGAACCATATTAGCAACATCATCATCCACCAAAAGAGTTATAACAACAATAGCAAATAACAATGTATCATAAAAAGTTAAGACAGAAGAGAAAATAATCAAAGAGAGTTCGCCGGACGAGCTCCTCCGCTGAAGCTGTGACGCGGGCCACGGTAGGAGCGGGAATGCTCGAAACGAGTCATTCTCTCGTTGAGCTGGCGAACGTCGTCTCGAATGCATGTGAGAGTATCAAAGATCCTCTTCACCCAAGAAGGTTCTGGTTCTTCTTTTCTCGGTCGAGTCTTGCGTTGATGAGTGACGCGTTCCGTGGCTCGACTTCCTCCGGCTTGAGATGACTCAGCTTGATTCTTGTTTTGGCTTTCTTCTTCTTCTTCGGCGACTATCAGGTTTAGATTTGGTGCAACATCGCCCTCCTCTCAATACACGATCCGGGAAAACTTGGCTTCAGTGATGAAGCACGTCTTCTTGACCGGCACCTGAGTGTCCCGAGTAAAATCCACTTTGCTACGAGCAATGATATGCATGATCGGGATGGCAAAACGGAGATGGGAAAAACGAGTACCATCACTAAGTGCAACGACAAAGAAGTGAACCCAATCAAATTTGACATTGTTCAACAGGACGTGAAACAAACGAATATCATCCTTGTTGACAACGCCATGGTTCGAATCACGGGGCAATAAAACATAGGAGAAGATGTATTGTTGAACGCGTTGAATCAAAGTGAGGTTGATGACACTCGGGTTGTTAGAGTTTCTAAACTTGAGGTCACGAGAGTCTAACCCGAGTTGTCGCCAAATTGCCTCATCTTGGAATGTTTCATCTAAGTTTTCGGTAATTTCACCTCGGCGAAGGCCAAAGAGAGAGGTCAAACCGGCACTATCAATTTCAATGCTTTTGCCGTCAACATAGGAAACGAGAGATGGCGAGTCTCCCTTAGTGGTACGAAGATTTGCATAAAATTGACGTATAAGATTTGGACAAAAGAATTCATACGTCAAGTGAATGAAACGAAGCAAATTTTGCTCAGCAAAAAGAGACTTACTCGGGGCAAAGGTCGCCGATTTGAAGAGGTCTTTGTACACAATCTTTGGTGAAACGATTTCCTTCGTGAGAAAGTTGTTGTGGAACCTCTCAACTGATGCTCCCGTCCTGAAGACAAACCCGGTTTGAATGTGGAAGTATTTGGCTCCTTCCTTACGCCATGGACGGTCCTCTTCCTCCGCCGCCGCCGCTGTTTCCTGGCGCGAGTTCTTGGTCCTTGGCATCTTCCCTCTTTGAAATTGATGAAACTTGGTCAAATTTGGTGAAAAGATTGAGGGAATTTGTGAAGAAATAGAAGAAGAAGACCTAGGGTTTCGTCGCCTCGGTCTGATTTTCTGAGAGAAGTGGCGAGGAGGACGAAGCCAGGTCGATTTATTAAACCAAAAAAAAATCAAATAATAATCGATTAATCAAAGTGATTTAATCGATTAAGGGTGAGGCAGAACCGAAGGAGTTTGCGCAGAAGGCTAATAATCGATTAAACAAGGGCTATTCATCGATTAGTTTAGACAGAGGCGTCTAATCGATTTCTCTTTGAGGATTAATCGATTAAACTAAATTTGACAGAAAAAAAAACATCATATTCAAATCAGTTTGATGCCACGGGCCAAGATACCTGAAAGGCCCTCGGTAGCGTTTGATGTCTACCTCTTTACCTTTTTCATCCTTGTCGAGATAGCAAGAGGTGCTCATCGGTGTGTCAATGGATTTGGATTCGGTAACATCGAATCTCTTAAGCAATTCCCTGCAATATTTCGTTTGACACACGAATGTCCCTTCTTTGCATTGTCTAATTTGTAGCCCAAGGAAGAACTTTAATTCTCCCATCATCGACATCTCAAATTCACTTTGCATCATATCGGAAAAATCCCTGCACAAAACCTCGTTAGTAGCACCGAATATGATATCATCTACGTAAACTTGAACCAAAAGGATGTCTTGGTTATCTTTCTTGATGAAAAGTGTAGTGTCGACTTGACCCCGTTTGAACTCATGATCCAAAAGAAATTTGCTTAACCGTTTGATTTGCAGTATAAAACGGGCAAAAATAACAACTAAAAAGAATCCCTTGTAAGTAGGGTGTCGAACCTCAGGGAGACGCGAGTTAATTTAATTTAAACAAAAGTTTACAAAAGAAGTTGTAAAATATTTTGGTCTTTTTGGTTTTAGAGATAAAATAAAAAGTGTAAAAGAAGAGAGTT